TGTAACGTGTTGTGTCACGGGTGGTTAGGACAAAAACTACAAGGAAAATATACTTTTTATCGCGTCGTGTCTGGTTGGGACACACGGTGTTACGTTTGATCCCCCCCAAAAATCTAAGCATAAAAATATTAATACTGACTAATCTAATAATTTAATCTGCAATTAGGCAAAGTGGAGAGAAGAGATCCAATCTGGGAATGAACAGGAACAGTTGATTTGCATGGCAGACATGGAGATCCAGATTTTTTGTTTGTTCATTTGTTTTTAATATTCAACAGGCAAAGTTCTTCTGTATCTAAATGCAAAAAATGTTCATAATTGTTTGAATAAAACAGACTACTGGGGGAAAAAAATCTGAAAATTCATTTTGTGATTATTTTAACAAAAGCAACAATATAATAATTGTAATAATAATAACAATTATATATATATATATATATATATATATATAGGTGAGTGGCCCTTGGCTTGGTGTTGTTGGTAGAATTCGGCCCTCTGTGAAAACTAATTGAGGAACCCTGGTCTACAGGCTTGCAATTTGCACATTAAAACCATTATGGTCCATCTCATTATACATAGCTGGATATAAGTATATACAACTTTATCTGCATACATACAGTATATGGCAATACTGTACTATATAGCAAATCTCAACTGCTTGATTGCCTGTCTCATTACAAAATGTAAACTATAGCTCTCATGTGCTAAATGCAACCATAGGGCATTAATATATTATAAACATTAACATTATGATTTTCTGTAAAGCTACTTTGAAACTGTGTATTGTGGGGGGAAAAGCACTGTATACATACATTTTACTTGACTTGCACATGTTTAAAGACAACTGAAAAGTACTGATCACATTCTAGAAAGAAAAAATTGTTTAGAAAAGCAGAGCAAAGTATAAAAATAAAGCACACACAATTCATTTTTTCATCTTTAATTTTACAAATCTGTCAGGAACACTTGTTGACAGCAACCTCAGCTCATTTGTCTGGAAGAAAATGAAACACTTGAACGATTCTTAATACTTTTGAGTTGTGGGTAAAACTGCACAGAATATACTGCAACCTTTTTTTCCAGTATTTCGTCAAATTCAAATGCAAACTTCAGTGTGAGTAAAACAGCCGGATAAAAACAACATCCTCTACTATAGAAAAGGGATTAGCTGACTATAAAAATGTACGTTATTTTTGCATTTTAACTTACCATTCACATTTGTATATTTATATATAAAAAGACGTAAGAAATGCAAATCTTTCGATACCAGCTACAAATAATTCTTTGTACCACTGAAATGTTATTTTAAATTACAAAATAAACATTATGAATCATTATTGTTTCTACTGTCGTCATTAATATTATCTCTTTATTATTTTGATCTTTTTTTATCCTTTTGATTCTTTTTTTAACATAAGTCAATAAATTAACATGCTATCTCTTTCCCTGAAAGCCAATACGTGACTGTGTCAGCAAGTGAGAGTTGCGCAGGACCCGACATTAAACTTTTCCAGGGGATTTTGTGCGCCTGGTTTCGAACCAGCACCACGGCTCAAAGTGTCTGGAACATATGCATGAAAACTGAGAGTTGTTTGGCTTTTAGTCAATGTTCGTTAGTTTTGAGGTCATCTAAATGCTAGTACACTCCCAAAACATGACAAAGAAAAGAAACTTCCTGTTTTAACAGGAAACACATAAGAGATAAGCCATATCATGGAGTTTTTAATGTCGAGTCCTGCTATAAATGTGCTAATGTATGTCTGGGAATGTAATAGAAACATCTAGATGTGTCTACATCTATTTCTCACTCTGCGGGAAAAGGGAGGAATTGTTCGGAAGTCCATACCAAAAATAATTAATTGTAAATATATAATATATATTTTTACATATTTGAATATATTTACAAATATACCCAGCACTATATACCATGTATTATTTTTTTAACCATTAAGGATAACGGCTTGGGCTTTTTGTACGATAACCGTGTTATCATGGTAAAAACTGAGCATTTAAAATAAACAATAAAAATCAACCGGAGGCAGTGTTATGATTTCTTCTACTTCTTCTGTTAGTTGTATGTTTCCTTATTGTACTCGTATCCTATTGTCTCCTTTTTGTATCTTAAGAGTTCTGTTCATGTGCTCCATTCATTTCTCTTGGGAACACAGAATCCTGGAATGCCAAGCAACGGAATGACAGCAAGAATGTAATAGAACTCCAACATAAACGAAAAAAAAACCCCATCGAAATAAACAAAAAAATTTAAGAGGTGGGCCCTTGGAAACAGTCACTTTTCTTCAGTCCTTGTCCTCTTCTTAAGAGCTTGGTCACGTGTTTTTGTGCGCACAAGTGTGTGTTTCCACAAAAAAAAGCACCTGCGCTTCACACACTTCAGTTTCTTTCCGGAAAAGCAGCATTGCTGACGTCTCAGCCTCCTTTAGCGCACTCCAAAAGTTCAGCGGGAGCTTCGCAAGGAGTCTAGAGGCAGCATACGGTTCTGAATGGGTACAAGGGAACTGTGGGTAAAAGTCTCTCAGTCTTGTTGAGAACTGCAGGCGTAGCTTGGATGCGGTGGGTCTGGAGAACGTTGAAGAGGCTCATGTTTTTATGCCTCCATTGATGTGCTGGTACTTGGGAAGGCAGGGCTCGTCTGCTAAGGGGTCGTGGGAGAAGACGGAATCGTCTCCAGAGGAGCAGGAGCTGCGTGTGTCGGGGAAGCTGGGAGAGTATTGCTCCACCGGGGCGCACAGGTCCAGATATTCCTACAGACACAAAGACGAAGCTGTCAGTATAAACATGACCAGAACTAGAGCTGCCTCATTTAATGGGAAAAATTAGGGAAATAGGAAAAGCCCAATTATATTTCAATTAGTCAAATGAAAGACAACCTTCTCCATTAGAAATAAAAGCTATTTCCATGGAGAGAAAAAAATGCATTTAAACCAGCGTTATTTTAATCAAATTGATACACTATTATAGTTGTTTAATTAGTATTTTGAATTAGATTCTCAAAAATATTTTCTTTTCATTTTAATTTTAGTTATAATTATAGAAATGTAGTTTTGTCACTTTTAATCATTTTCTTTTTTATATGTCTAATATATACGTTTATTTAGTTCTTATTTAAAATGTTTCATTTAAAGTTAATAAAAAAAAAATAGATGTTGCCTTGGCAACTAGCTGAAATAAAGTTTAACTTTTTTATAAATTTTATTTTATTTCAGGTAATGTTTATTGTAATGATTATTTTATACAATAATTTCCGCTGTTGCCTTGGAATAAGTTAAAGTTTTCTTTATATTTTATTTTATTTATCTATTCATTTTTATTAGAATTTTTTGATTATTTATTTATTTTATTTGTACTTTTGAGTTTTAGTTAGTTTTAACAATTCTTTAGTTACTTTTCAGGAGTATGTGATGAATAGAAAGTTCAAAAGAACAGCTTTTTTTTTTAAACAGAAATCTTCTGTGACATTTTAAATGGCTTTACTGCCACTTTTGATCAATTTAATGTGTCCTTAAAGTAATAATTTCTCGCTTTCGAAAAAAAAAAAAAAATACTGAACCCAAATGTTTGAATGGTAGTATATGTAATCAAATAATTAAATAACTCAAATAATACTTTCTGCTGTGATTCACCAGCTGTGACCTGTAAAAATAAAGTGCGCTCAGTCAGAGTTTAACCATGCTGGAAACCACTGTGCCAGATTCCACGTCTGAACATCAAGTCTAACCAATATTTGCTTATCGAATTTCAGTGAATCAGTAACAGAAGACACCGCACCTGAAGACTTATATATATATTTCTGAAATACATATCTATAAACATCCAATGCACATAAACATATAAGACCAAAAAAAGTACAGGAGGATGTTTTTTCCTGGTTCATTCCTCAGACAAAATTGGAGCCATTTCGTCTTTGCGGCTGGTACTGAACTATTTGACGAGAGGAAGAAGGGGGTTTTAGGTTGCTGAAAATGAGTGTTGGATTGAACTCTCGCTGCTCAACACAAGGCAGCTCACATTACTAAAGACCTTCACATCTGTGAGCAGTTTAAGACGGGGGGAAGAAAGCAGAGGCACTTTATTACATTTCTAAAGTTCAAAACGGCGAGCGAGAGCGGGGCTTTTGGCATCATCTCTCTTCCACGGCTCAATCCCCCTTCGACAAGTTCTGACAGATTTCCATCCCTCAGCCCGCCACACGGATATCACGGATGGCAGCTAGGGAACGAAAAGAATCGTCTAGTATGGATCCATCTGACAATTGAGCAACGTTAGCACGGGGGCCACTCTCGAAAACCCAAGCCTGGATGAAATTAAGCACGTGCAACTCTCGACCTGTACGCTGACCGTATAAACGGCTTCCTTTCCCTCGCGGATCTTGCGAAATGTTGCGAGCTGGAGTCGGAGCCAGTGTTGGCACAGGTTCGATGGATCCCAGAGCTATAGGGAAAGCGCGAATGGTTTCGAGACTGTTTATGCATGTGTGTAAACGTGTGCACGCCTCACCTCGTTGGTTGCCAAAGTGAGAATGCGGTCCAAGTCCTCGACCAACTGTTTGAATGTGGGCCTGTGAGAGGAGATTGCATGCCAGCAGTCCTTCATCATCATGTACCTGAGACAGAGGAACAGACAACATGACATCATTTATTTATTTCTAAGCTCTGTTTTGGAAATCAAATGTGGCGCAACCGTTTGTGTAATCAGACATGCTCAGGCGAGTACACGTGCGCTAAACCGAGGGTGCGATGAAAGGTTAACAGTGATTTTGCTGCCCACATACCATCTCAAAACTAATGCACAAATCTTATTTTGGTAGCAAATTAACATGAAAGCTTGTTAGGTCATCGACATGATGGCTTAAAGGTACTTTTTTATCAATTTAGGTTGGGAAGGAGCTCATTGGTCGCTGCGAAGGCCATGACAGCCCGATTAAGAAAATAGTGCATTAAACAAGGTAAATGTAAGACAGAAAAAAAATTAAGAAAAAGAACAGGTAGTAGGAAATTAGCTCAACTAGTACATGTACACACTAAATACAATATATAGTCAAAAATATGATTAAAAGATAGTTAGTGGGACACTAGCTTAACTAGTGCATTGAACAAGCTAAATGTAAGACAGAAATAAATGGAAGACAAAACCTGATTAAAAGGTTAATGGTTAGTGGGATGTCAGCTTAAAGGCCTTTCCACACTAAGTGCGAAAAAGCAAAACGAATATCGG